GTAACAGTGAAATTTGCTTTTCCCAAAAGTTCTGATCTCCAGCAGTGGCTTCTGTAGCCAGAAGCAGAGACAATATGCAGGCTTGGTCCACAGAAATAGCCATGAGCCATCTACATTATCTGGAGAGAAATACTAGTAATATGGTAATTTCTGCTACCCAGTATAGGACAGATGTCAACACTCTGGATCTGTCACAAAAAGAAAGCCGCAGGAATGAAGCACCCCAGAATTACAGGCTTTTTTTCCTAAAGGTGAAGGATCATGCTACAATGTCTAAAAAGAGAAGAACAGGCCAGTCTGACCTGTACAGAAGATGACTATAATGAATCAAGGTATGAGAGGAGGAATTTAAATACATTTACAGATCAAGGGAAAAAACAAAAGGCAAACCAAGAATACAGATAGAGCTGAATGCCTGCTGTTTTATGGGACCAGGGCTGTGAGCAGACACCAGCAAGGTGTCCAGGGTATAGGCATGGAGGACAACCAGAGTGCTGAAAGCAATGCAATAGGCCTTGCATGGCTCCATGAAACTCAGATTAAACCAATTCTACCTCTCTGGCAGCTGGTGAGAAGGGAGACAGCAAAGTCAGTGAAAAGTGGCAAATTCAATGCTGACAGATTACCTGCATTTAACCTTTCCTTTTTGTGTATCAGCCTGGTATAGTCCTTTCCCCTTTGCTTAACCACTTCCAGGAACAGGCTTTTCCTCTCCAGACCCCACAAATCCTACTGTAGTTCACTATACTATTCCCTTCCAGATGGACACTGGCCTCCCATCTCACCTTAGCCCTCTCAGCATGAACACAGAGCGTGCAGCACAAGGAGCAGGGGGAGAAGGTGTGTCCCCACTGTGACAGGTGCTGTGGCTCCAGGGAACATTCAGGCTGCTGTATTGACATTACAAATGAATGCACACACCTTTGTGGTTTCATTAATGACTGTACTGAGAGATGAAGAGACATGAAAATGAATGCATCCTGCAAAAAAAGCAAAGACAAATGGGAAGTAATTTAAATAAAGCCCCAACACCGAAACAATGCACATAACAAATCTGAAGTTTTGATTCTCTAAGGAAGCAAGTCCTTGTATCCAAAGAGGAGTCACCAGTATTGCTCATACATAAGACTAAGGAAATTATATGGGTGAGGCAATTGGCAAGCAGGCAAGCAAGATTCATTACACCAAAAGTCACTGTGACCTCATGATCACTTCCTCCACCTTTCCTGTTTAAGGGCAGCTTGGTAGCTGGAAACAGCCACAACACACAAGTGCACAGAGAAGAGCAACACTGCCCCTGCAAAACAAGCAACAGGACTAACGAGGGCTACAAAAGTAGCACTGCCTGTGTGCTGCTTCTCTTCCATAGGTGGAAAGCAGAGGTTTTAAACCAGGTCCCGTTCCAGTTAATGCCAAATCATCTCAGAATCTAGGGAAAAAATATGAGAAACTGAAAGGAGTGAAGAGAGATTTATGAGTTGCAAAACTATGACAGGTAAAATTGATAATTGTTCACACAGATGAGTGCTGAATTTAATTCAGTACATAACTTGGTTGTAAGCTCGTGCTCATTACTCATTCCTCTTACACTCACTGCACTTGACAAACCACAAAACTAAGTACTAAAACCCAATGAAACAAAAGAGGGCTACTAAATCTAGCAGCTTGGACTGTTATTCAGTCAGGAGAAAATAAGCAGACAAGGATGCATGGTGGAAATGAAGTGGGGAAAGCAAGGCCAGATTGGGTGGCTTCATGGGCAGTAAGTCCTTAGTACAAAGCTAATCTTGCATTAAGCATAGGGAACTATACACACATCCTAAAATGTTCTGCACTGCCAAGAGCATTTTATACAATAGTTGAGGACACCTGAGGGAACATACCATGTACCCTTTTACCGTTTCTTTCCCAGGGATGTAGGCAAAAGAATGCAAGATGCTCTGAGCAAAAGGAATAAGCAATATTTTCACAACAGTCAGACTTCAGTCTGAGACTGACTGAAGTTGCACTTCAGGTTTTAAAAGCTATAGGGACTGTTTGATTTTCTGATTCCCTTGCTATGACCTCTTATACTCCAGAGTACAAAGAAACAGTTCTGTCAAGTGTTAAGAATTTGAAGGGGTTGTGACTCTCTTAAATTTGCTATCAGCATTCTGACATTTTCCCCACCTGACCTGTTTAATCTAGGTGTATACTCTAAAGAGATTCCTGGATTTTCTAGAACAGCAAAAGGCTAAACTGTCTGAAAGCACCCAATAAATGCCAATATTTTGTGCTGGCTGGTTCCCTTTATGAGCTCTGAAGAATGGGAATGATTGAAATGAATTTTTCTGAGCATTTCTTCTCTGATGAAAAATGCAGTAGAAGGGGACTGTATGTTATTGTTGTTACCATTACAATTCCTATTATTATTACTATTATGTTTATTCTGTGGGAGGAAAGAAACTTGGATGGATCTCAGCAAGGGAAGTCTGAATGATTGGTATTTCAGTAGCTTTATGTGCAAGTATCCTGCTAGATGTTCATTTTTGCAAATTCACCTGCAAATTCATTCTCTCTCATATACACACAGTCCTGACACAATCTAATACGTATGAACCATCCAGCACTAAAAACATTAAACTGCAGGGGAGCTCAAATGCTTTCTCTTTCTAAGGTGCAGAATATTAAGCATACCATCCCCACCCATTTACTAGCTATCATTACCAAATGCTTGCTATCATCAAATATCAGGATAATTTAGGCTCTCAATTTTCAAAGCAATCTGAATCCCTGTTTCTTTGGCCTGCATGTAGCCTCTCCCAACCATGCTCACAGCTTCTTCTGACTTGCTCCCATTCTGCCTCCACCTGACCCATAGGCCAGGAGCTCCCAGGAGTTGACTGATGATTCTGTTAACTCCATAGATGTTTTTGTACAGCCTGTAGCACAAGCAAGAAAGCTGCAGACTATAAAAACATGGGAACTGTGATTTTGTTGTGCTGTGCACTGTCAAATGGCATATGAACCCATTACTGGGACCCCTAGAAACATCACCAATAAGCAAACGTAAAGGAGTAGGTCATGTCAGGTTCAGCTCTGGCAAGATCCTGGTCATAAATGTGCGGAGGCACTTGTCCACCGTGGTGATTCCTTCTTCAGTTATGGCTGGAGGGCAAGGAGTGATTTTGGTTTTGCCAGTAGCACACGTGTACATGCCTGAGAACATCAGCACAGGCTTTGTGCTCAGCCTGGGGGCTGGCCCTGTTGTGTTACAGCTGCTGCACTTGCAGACACTGAGCTGTGTGTGCAGGCTGTACCCCTAACTTTGGATCAAACTACACTTTCACACAGCATAACATGCACAGGCCTCTCTTCTCTTCAAATTCCTCTAGGCCCTACTGGACTGCAAATAATTACTGTCATCGTTCTGTACTGGTTAGGACACAGAAGCATCAGCAGGAGCAGAAGGTGGGTCTGTGGGCGCGGGGAATGGCCTGTGTGCGATGGGTCAGGCCTGACCCAGGCACTGGGAGCAGCAGTCTGCAGACAGACAGACAGACAGCATGTGGCCGTGAGCAGCCTCTGCCAGAGTCACGGGGTGTCTGCCGGCACCTCAATAAAATGGCACCTCTTGCATCAGTGGAGATGATGAGATTTAAGGTGACGGTGAAATGAGGTTTGTTGAACCTCCCATCAGGTCAGAGTGAAGAAGGGCTAACCGAGTGGGGAAAAGGATTCTTTCCTGACCTGGCTGTTTCCTGAGCTTTTTTTAACCTCTGTCTTGAAGCCGTTGCAATTATGAATGACCCTTTAGAAGATGCTGGGGGCAATTTGCCTTTCTCTTGGCTGCCACCTTTGGGCAATGGATAAGAACGGGTGCGAGGGTTGGGCGATGCCTTCGCAGGTAGTAGTCCCGAGTGGGCTGTGCAGTCGCGCTTATCGCTGCCCCAGCTGTGCACTGCATCCACGCAGCTCCTCGGGGAATCAATCTGAAGGGAGATGTGCCCATTCATGTGTGTGTGTCACTAACCTCACGAAAGTGCAGGCTTTTTAATGTTTAATAACAGGATTTCACCCTTTCCCACTGACCCACCGCGGCAGCCACAAGCGGCCAACAGCCGGCCCGGGCTGTGAGCCCGGCCACCTCAGCCTCCCACGGGCACGGACACGCGAAGGGAAGCTGTGCCGGGACCGCGCAGCGCCCGCACACACCAAGAGGAGGCCGTGCCAAGCTACGGCGAACGTGGGCACCCCTGCACAGGTGGTGGTGGGGTCGGAGCCAGGCACAGATGTCCCCCGTGTGTCCCTTGAAATAAACAGGGCTAGGAGACTTCTTCTCTTTTTTAATGCTTTACTATAAGTGATTAGCTCAGGATTGGGCAGCTCGGCGGGGCTGCAGTCTCTCGTCTTCTCCCTCACGGCGAGTTAGAGGAGGAGGATATGCGCAGCTTTGTCTACTAGGGGCAGAGCTGGGGGAATCTGGTCATGGTGGGAACCTTTGGAGTGTGGTAATTCCTTCCGTTGTTGACTTTGCTGGCTGTTTTAGCCGGCCCTCATCTCTGGGGACGACTCCTGTGGTCAGGGCGAGAGGGACTCCGAAAGTGTTCCGCATCTCTGCAGGCTCAGCACTCGGCTCCTCACGTCCAGACATCACTCCAGTCTCTCAGCTCTTAGGTGGCTCGTTGTTTTTGGGGTTCTTCCTGCACGTTTGGAGCAGGGGTCCCACACAGCATTCTGGTCTTGGAGTCACTTTGCATAGCCCCCCTCACCCTCTCAGGTCTCTTCACCCTTCTGGGAAAAGTACACCTTAGCCTCGGGCAAGGCTCTGCTAATACAAAAGGAGCGATTAGCCACAACGACCCGTGATTACAATAACAAAACACGCAGAACTTTGGCAGGGACAGTGATCTGGCTGCCTTTTTGTAACTTTTTCTCACAAAAAAAATATTAACCGAATTTTTGTTCATAACATCCCTGTGTGTCTCCGGGTGTCGCTCGCCCCCGGGGAGACGAGCCGCTCATCGATGAGCTCGGCAAGCCAGCGCCCCGCCCCGCGGGTGCCGCGTTGGAGGCGCTCGGCGCTCGGCTGGCCGGCGCTGGCGCGGGTCCCTTGTCTCCCTGTCCAAGATGGCGGCCGCGGGCGGCGGCGCGGCGGGAAGCGGCGGGGCCGAGTGAGGCGGCCGCGGTTCGTCCCCACCCTGCGGCCGCGGCTTGGCGCCGGCGGGCGTTGTCGCCGCTGGGCGGCCCCGCAGTCGGGGCACGCCCGGGCCTGCTGCAGGGGCGGAGCCGCGGGCTGGCGTGAGGCTGGAGCCCGCTCGGGTGAGGGGACGCGCGGGCGGGAGCGGGGCGGACGAGCCCGCTTTGAACGGAGGCGGCGGTGGCGGGGCCCGGGCTCCGGGTGGTGTCGGGGCGCATGCGCAGGACGGGCCGGGCGGCGGTCCGTGCCCGCGGAGGGGCCGGTGCCGGGTTGGCGCCTCGGCTGCGCGCGGAGCTGCCGGCGGTGCCGCCCGCCCTGACGGCCCCGGCCCGGAGCGCCGGCGGCACGGGGGTGAGGGAGCCGCCTCCACAGCCGGCCGGCACCGGCACCGAGGAGCGGGGCTCCGTGCGGAGCCCCGGGGCTGCCGAAGAGCCAGGCTGGGCCTTGAACCCGCGGGCATGTGCGCTAAGGAGCGGGAGACGTGCAGGGAGAGCTTCCCCGCTGAGCCCGTGCCATCGGTGCTGAAAGCCGGGAATTTGAAGCAGGGGAACGTAACTGAGGTTTACAAGATGAGAGTGGTTAAGGGTCTGTTTTGTATTTGCCGGATCTGGGCTGTGAGCACCTTTGGGCAGTATCTGCCGAGCTTTGTCCTTGCCAAGCAGATAAGATCTAAAAAGAGACTTAAAGGTATGCATATAGGCACAAAGAAATCTTAGGCTCTCCATGTCATCCATTCATGAATGAATGTCTTCAGCTTTGTTTTGCAGAGCAGTATCTGTATTAGACCCTTTCTGTCTTGAGCATAATACTCTGGTATTGTGTGTCCTGTCAGTGAAATCTGTCTGACAAACAGCACAAAATGTTGAAAACGTCTGGTTTAAGATCACTAGGCCTCAAGTGGCAAGATGCTCTTTTTTATTGCTGAGTGCAGTGTTCTCTGCATGTACATAGGCAGTGCTCTTGTTTTTAGGTGGAATCCTTGTTTGCTACCAGCAGTATATAATGGTCAGAACACTGTCTTGACATTCAGCAGTGGGTATTTTCCCAAAACCTGAAGAAATAGCATGTATTCCTATGAATTTAAACAGAAACATCTCGTGTGTACCCACAAGCCTGATTTAGTTGAAACTTTGTTGCATCAGTTAAGTAACCACTGTAGGATGAATGAGTTGTACATTGTTAGCCTCAGCCAGTTGTTTATAAAATCGAGTTGCATGGGGAATGTACAAGCACCAGTTCCCTGCTCCCAGAGTATTCCCATGTAGCTTCAGTGTGGCGAGATTACCATGGCAGCTGGGATGAGCAGGCTGCCTGGTGTTTGTGCCTGGGTGTTTACACATGTGCACGGACACACAAACACACAAAGGCAGCTGGCAGCCATTGGATTAATCCCGTAGGAGCAGAATGTTGATCTTGCTGAGCTGGTCACTGGCTGAGGAACAAAAACTGTTTGCTCTGAGAGAACCAGAGTGTGGCCATTCCACAGCAGCACTGTCCTGCTGCATGCCCCACTTAGAGGAGGCCTGAAACCTGGAGGGTAGAGGTTGGGTTGCTGCAGGCCTAGCTAAAAGGAGTGCTCATCCCCTCTCCCAGGCTGGCATTCAGAATGGCTGCAGTGGTAGCATTGGGAAGCACATCAGGAGGATACACACCTCTCATACAAAATGTGTGATCCTCTAGTAAAAAAAACAAAAAAAAAACCAAAAAAAAAACCCACCCCAAGATTAATTCTTTTGTAATTTAATTCCTTCTGCCTTGTCCCTTCTTTTCCTTCACTTCATCTGAGACTCAAGGGTTTGAAATCTCTTTAAACATCCCATTCTTTGCTACAGTGGCTCTTGACAAAGAATGGCTTTGACACAGGGTGCAGTTTTGTGTGTCATGAAAACCAGACTCAGTTGTCTTCTCACCCTCTTTCTATTTTTGTAAATAAATTAGTTCAGTGATTCAGATATTTTATAAGAAAGAGCGGCATTTCCTATATTTAGAATAGTACAATATCCTTTTTGATTAAAACGCCCAAATCTATCAAGCCTGAAGAGTGACCACTCATTTCCTTTCCCACTGTCTCCCAAAGAATCCTTATTTGGTTCAGAGAAAGTTTCCCCATTTACATAGTGCTTCTTCTTTGTGAGAGGGTTATTTTCATTCTCTGTTTCTCAGACCTTTTCCTATAGATGGGAACGGGGGAAGGAGCCCAGACGTGGCAGCTCATTCACAGGCTCCTGCAGGACCACCATGGCTTATGATGGCTCCAAGAAGAAAGAAGGTAGGACTGCTTCATAATCTCAGAGGGATTTGCAAAAAGAGTCAACAAATAATTTTTTTAAGGGTGCCCTTTACAGCCCTTGCCAGGCCATGCAGTCAGAGTGGGAAAGAGGTTAGGGTGCTGTGGAGCCCTTAAATTTAACTTGGCCAGGTAACCTTAAATTTAACCTGGCCAGGTTACCGGAGGATCCCAAGCCCTTGACTTTCAGATGTAAAGTACTGGGATTAGAACTTGAGAGAAATGGGTGGTGTTTCCTACTGCAGACACCCTGATTGGGAACTCTGCCACTGCAGCCTTTCTTCTCCCTGACAAGTCAATGGGACAGGGGATAATGATACATTTAGAGATGGCAACATTTCTAGATCCACTTGTCTTTAGGAAGAAACATACAGGCATTAGAGATTGAACCTGGAATGATTGTGTTAGAGCACCAAGCCCCATCCCTCTGGTCAGACAGTACAGACTGTTTGTTACCTTTCAGGCCTCTGTGCTTGTTGGGTTTTGTGCATCACTCTGTGCCAGTATCCTCTGTTAGCTTATTTTATGACTGGTCCCCTTGTCTGTCTTTCCTTAATGTGGTATTTCATTTCTTCCTTTTTTCCCATTTCCCATAAATCAGAGTCCCTAGAGAGTCACCGAAGTGCTGACGACGGGCTGGCACCTGGCAGGATACAGCGAGAGAAAAAGCGCTCGTACAAGGATCTTCTGCAAGAGGAGGACGAGACAGCAACTCAGGTAGAAACCCTCAGAGAAAAGGTTCAGGGTGTATGGATATGCATAAAGGTAGTGATGGGATGTGTTTCTTTTCCTTTTTTTAATTTGTTTTTTATTTAGAAATGCATGTAGAAGACAACAGGAGCAGCTAATCATGTCTTGTATTGATCAGTAACTTTCCTGGAGAAAAGGAGGGAATCAATCCCTGATTCCAATTTTTTTGGCCTCAGAAAATGAGATAGTAGGAGTGTTGTCCCTGTGTTGATGGGACATACCTTGCAAGTAAGAAAATGCTCTTAATAACCTCTTACACACATTTTTTAAAATGTGGTTGTGGAAATAGTCAGCAAAGGATGGACAGAATATTAACTGATGCACTGTTGTCTTCCTGATTCTGCAGACAGCCTGAAACGATAGCTCTTGAGAAGAATGAACTTGCCCTATTTACCTCTTTGGGGCCTTAACTCTTGAAATCACATAGTGGCAACTTAAGGTTCTTCAAAAACTTCTTTCCTCTTTGAGCTACAATTTCTGCTGTTAGCTCAGAGGTGGCTATCTAGTGATTTGGGGTTTTTTTCCATCTCAAAAGCAAATTTTTGTTTAAAATTAAAATCTTCTACCCTGCGGTTGGAATTCTTTAGAGGATTTCAATTTCTATTTCATAAATTGATCAAGCCATAGATAATAATTAGGTGACGTGGCATATTAAGGACATATTTTTGTCCCATCATTCTAGTTGTCACCTCTCTGTACCTCCTGTTATTTCTTTTTCAGCATGGTAAGCATAAACTGCTCTCCTTTGTTTTCAAGGCTTGACAGTCTATATATCTGAAGTTATTTCTTAGCTTTATTAAAGGGGAGATGTCAGTCTTTTATCAATTTATCAGCTGATCTTCAAGTGATGGCTTGCATTGCCCATATCTCAACACTTTGCAAATGTGCTTTTTCTTTTATGTTGCTCCTCTCTCTTGGGGGTCTCCCTGCAGAGATTGTCTTTCAGTTTCCTTGGAGCCCTGTTGTGCTGCCGTGCCTACAGAAAACTCTGTGTCAATTAGGTGACCATTGTGATGAAACCAACCCTGACTAATGATATTTTTGTATTCTCCCACCTATCTGTAACATGTGTTTCATCTTACTTTAAACCTACACTGTGTGCTCTGGGGGACAGAGTAGGTTTTCTTTTAGCACCTAGAAAGATGATCCTGGTTCATACCTACAGATCCTTGATGTTGCAGCAGTACAAATAACCCTTGATACTTCTTATAAATTTTTATCTGTTAATAGTCCATGTGACTCCTTTTTGACAGCAATTTTTTTCTTCTTATTCCAGGACAGTGAGTTTTTTCCGGGGACAGAAGCTCACAAAAAGAAGAGAAAGCATTCCTCCGATGAGTTCTGCTACAGAGGTAAGGAAGTAACCAAGCAGGAGAAGGGGCTAATATATCATGCCTTTAAGGAAAAGAATGTCTTAAACCAGTGTCATCAAGCTTTGTGGTTAGCATTTTAAAGATGGAGAACACATCAACCTGCATTGGAACAGCTAATCAGAAACCTGACACTGATCAGCACCAGACAGCAGAAGATTAGGGAATTATATTTTCAGAGTCTGGCTTAACAAGTTGCCATGGTAGGGGGTAGAGATCTTCCATCCCCTTTTCATCGACAAGTTGTAGTTTGCTAACTCATGCCTTCACATTTGACATTTGTTTTTCTTATTTACCAATTGCATTGAAAACTAATTATACTTACAGGTAATATAACTTCCTCTGGATTTAAAAAAATAGAATGTCTGAGGTTGAAAAGAAATACGTCTCAGTTCACGCACTCTCACAATTAATAAGTTGGCCAGAAAATGACAATTCAGCTCATAGAAGCTTAACACATTTAGGATTTATTATTGGTCCAGTAGAAGGAGAAAGCCAAGCTGAAATTTCATCTTTCATCAAAATCTGTCTCCAGAATGAAAAAGCTCATATTTTCAACTCATTGGTTTCACCTTGTATAAAAATGTCACAAAAACCTTGCACTTGAGGTGTAATTTCAGTTAGATGTATTTTCATCAAAATATTTTATTTCATAAGTCACAAATGTAGTTTCACAAAACTTCAAGAACTTCCCTGCAGTCTCTCCCTTCCTTAAATTATTTGACCAGCTCAGATGTCACAGCCTCTGAATTGTCTCAGTAAGGCTGTGCTGAGATGGCTGTGGTTCTTTTTAAGCCAGGATGTAAATCTGTCACCTGTAATTGGAAAGCCCACAGGATTCTCACTTCCCTTCTTTGCCAGCTTTAAGAGAATCGTTTCAATGTACATTTCTTTTGATCTTTTTCAGGTGTCTCGCCTTTGGATCTACCATCAAAAAAGAAGAAAAAAGCAGCTTCTAGTCCATCCTCAACTGATACAACCATGGATTTACTTAAGACTATCAACTCACCTTTGGCCACAAGCTCAAAGTCTTCAAAGAGGACCTCTGAAAAA